TCTGCTGATGCAAATCATCATTGGAATAATATTGTAATACTTACTGGATAGAGAAATGGGTAATATATCTTCACAATAGAGGGATTTAGCGATGATTGTTACAGGTGGTCACGTGACCTAACTTGGGTACACATGAAATTGCGATAGCATGGGAAAAGATAATGTTATGATTGCGAAAATAACCACCCACTGTTAATGTGAGAAGTAAATGGCTAGGAAAGGCAATACGATTGTTTAAAATAGTGTTTAATTACTTATCTCCTAGCGTTCTCCTTGTATTGTATGCTTTGAAATTTAAGCCTTAGCTGGCCCTAACATCGCAGCGTAGTTTGTGGGTCGAAGACCATCATGCATACCAACCATGCCGTAATGTGCAGGGGCCTAGGCCTATCATTTGTCGAAAAATCTCAAAAATGTTTGCGGAAAGTATCCTTTACTGTATAGCATTAGCAAAACATTAAGACAAAGTTCTTAAGCTTATAAATTTCCAATCAATTTCCTATAGTTTACTGGTAATTAGGATGATCTTTACAGCAATAAAATAGGACAGCCGCGATAGAAATCCCATGTAAAACACTGCTGTGTCAGTGGATTGTTTATATCCAACACCCAAGTTAGGCCACGTGATGCCCATCGCTAAATCCCTCTATTTCTACCGTATTGTGTTAACACAGCATCATAATACGATGCTCTTTATTATCAAAATAAAATATTGTTATTTTTGAGATGTGTTTTGCATTGTACACTCTGGCGATAACATCTGAATATTCATGCCTTCCAAGATTCTGCATTTTTGGTTTTCCTTTGTTTTTTATGTGAATAGCATTGAAGATTTTTTTTTCGCATTGTGCTACTTTATGTAACTTTGTATTATAATTTTCATTTGAAATTCTAATGACCCCTCACGTCGAGGATTTTTACTGAATGGATGCAACAAAGGTTGTTCACATCATGGAGGTATAAAAATATGTTCACATATAATGAAAATACCGTAGTACATACATCATGCTAATCTACAATCTGTCCCTTGTTTTCATTAATAATATGCAACATGAATATTTACTTGTTCAGTCCAACTTGTCATTTTATCATTCCCTGAAGGGCTATGTACTTTTAAGATCAATACTCTCTTTTTGTGAATATAACATTAGTTTTTTTATTTAAAATATTTGTACCGTATTTAATTAACTGTTTCTTTGTACATGGCCTGTCAGCAGGATTCCCATCAACTCTCCATCAATCAGCCACCTTTTATTTCTTGCTGTTTTCCTTGTCAGCTATATGGAACCTCATAAAACAATTTAGGCTGTGAATTTTTTCGTACCGGACGGACGTGCAATGAAGCTAGAAGATTGTTTGTACTGAAAATAAATCTTTCCGAGTGTTGTCTACACTGTCCAAATACTAGGCCTGTTAGGATTAATTGAGAACTTTCTGAATCTTCACACGTCTGACCAGGCCAATACACAGTTACGCACGTAGGCCTATACTATTGGTGAAATTTAGCACTAAATGACTAATAAATCATACTGGAGCCAATCAGAAAAAGCTTCAACAGTATAGCGCTTGTACACTTGTTTAATTGGTTAAATATAAGCCAATACAAAAATATGATAGCAGGTTGAGAGTAGAGTGGATTAGATTTCTTGACTGTGAAATTCACCAAGGGTAACCCACCAGATTATGAAAACATTTAGGATTCTTCTGGTAGTGAATGAGCCTTTCCGCCATGGCCCACTCTTTCGATATTGTTACTAAAACCCCTCTCCCACTAGGGTTTTTTCCAAGCATACAAGTTACTGTAGAAGAGTTTGCCGAGTTGCTAACTCGGCAAACTCGGCATAAATTCGTAAGACGATTCAGGAAGCTCGGGGAGAACTCATACGTATTTGTAGCAGCTGAAAACTTGTGGCACTCATTTTGAGCATGTTCAAAATTAGTGCTAGGTAACTTGTAGTGTACTCAGGGTACTCCTATCTAACTCATACACTACTCAGGATACTCGTTGGTGGCTTTGTAATCCACGAGTTTGGTGAGAGCACCCCCGAAACGAGTACAAGTTAAGTACAAGTGCACTGAGTTGGTTATGGTCACCAGGAACATTCGGAATGCTTGTACCTAACTTAATTCGGTACAAACTTGTTACGCTCGTAATAATCTTGTAAAGCTTGTAGTAAACTCGGTGCTTCACTCTGCATAATTCGTACATAACTCGTTACCAACTCTGTAAGGTCGTACCTCACTCGTAGCTAACACATTGTCAGCTCGTATAGAGGTCCATTCTCAAGCGAATTAAATCATGATTTTCACAAGTTTTAACTCAGAGAACTTGTGCAACTCTTCGATGAAAACAACCTAGGTGAGAGAGGGGCTTTAGATCGAAAAACAACATTGTAAAAACATAAAGCAAATGCATGCATTTGTTGGATAACAAATGTGTTTGTAAGACATGCAAGTATTCATGACCCTGTTGTGACTGGTCGGTTTTAATAGTTGATTGATAGTCTAGTATGGTCTGTTGGTGTAGGCCTAGACATCAGGTGAGGCCCTATATAAAAAACATTATTATAGTTTACCACCCTATCTAGGCTGGAAAAATAATGAGGGAGGGATAGGCTTATTTTTTTTTTTTTTTTTTTTTTGCTGAAGCCAAATATTACCCTTGGGTTTTTTTGCAGGAGCATTGATATTCAAAGTAAAACATGATTAAGATAGTACAAACAATATCTACTAACTATTTAATAAATATTTAGCACCATAGAAGACATGCGCGAAGGGATAAACTAATAATTTTTTTTTTATTGAGCCTGATCTTCCGCTCTTCGTCTTCAGTTAAGTTGCCGCCTTCAACATTTTGAAGGTTCTGCAACTTGATTGGTACAACATGACCATTCAGTGTTTGATTTTTTTTCTTTCATATATATTCCCATGATGATGACCGCATCTTTAACATGGGCCATATTGTACACAGGACCAACGCCATGACGTCTCACCTGGAAGCTTTGAAACTTGTATTTCGACCCTCCAGTTGAAACAAAAAAGAGAACAGCAGATGGAATTTGCTATTTTAAGTAATTATGTTAATGAAAATATTTACATAATTTGTATTACTTAATAATTTAACTTTTCCTTAGGGTGGAAACAATTTATTCAGACTAGGTGGATAAACCCGGCTCAACTCACCGGGTTTATCCATGTGCCAGTCTGAACTAGGTGGCTTATCTTAAGCTGGGCTGTGTTCCTATAGTAACTAGGCCTGGCGTGCCACCATGTTTAACTTTTCTAAGCCGGGCTTTAATCGCTACTGGGGTCTTGCATTGACTTCCGGTAAAAAATGACCAATCAGCATTCAATTACGTACCTTGTGAGCGAGCGTACGTTTCAAGCCCCATGTTTCCAAACTCGTTACCTGGTTACAGTTCATTATGCTAATTCTCACGTCTGGCTAATCCCGCTAGTCTAAACGCCCGGCAAAGTTAAGCCGGGCTTAACGTTGAGCAGGGCTTAACTCAAGCCTGGCTTATCACCAAGTCTGAACGTAGCCTGTATGTAACAAATATTTTCAACATCAACAGAGTAACAATAGTAAACACATGGAGATTATCTGTATACAAAATGTTAATCACATTTCTTCCCAAAATAGTTCTTTTCTCTTAAATTTGGGTTTTCAAAAAAAATAATTAATGACCCCATGTCGACCTTGGTCACTCTTTTGGCAGGATTTCAACACCCAATGCAAATTTATTTAATTGTTGAAGGATTTGCTATTTGCCGGGAACATATGGGAATAGTTTTTCTAGCATTTTATAGAATGGCTGCATATTTTCCAACTTCTTATTAATCAACAAATTTGTCAGTATTAGCGGCAAGGGCAGAGCAAGTGTTTACTGGCACGCTATCCATCTTCGTGCCACACCTTAGAAACATCTCACAACATTAAACTGTCACTCTCTACCAAGTGCAGCACGCCACACATGTTTTTTGAATTCAATTCTGATTGGTAGCAAGAAAATGGTGAAGTCAAGGAGGCTGTTAATGTCTAATTACATTTGCCTTGATTGGGCTTCAGCTAATAATCATTTGTTATGTGATTGCAACGTTTTTTGTGATTGAACTTGTGGTTGCAAACATATTGATATTTTAACTACCTGTACAGTGTCTGGAGCATAAACTGTGCCATAGATAGAAATTTGTTCTTGGCCTGCTGGACATGTATTGATTCAGTGCTAAATAATAATGCTTTGGCATGAAAAAAGAATCATGTTCTTTTTTTTTGGTTTTTTTTTTTGGTTTTTTTGTATTTTTTGAATGGTCCATTTTGACTGCTACTGCATAAGAAATCATTAATTGAAAGAACTGATAGATGTTAAGTACTATTTTTCTTAAAGCCAAAAACATTTTTTTTTTCTATTGTTAACATTGCTTTGACTAAAGTTTTCATGATCCTACTCATATCTTAAAATAACTTTCTTGGTTTCCTATCAACCAAATGGAAGTCAAGATGATTTAATTTCTCACTTTCAAATCCACCAGTGCTGTTGCATCCTCTTTCAACTCTGTTTGTTGTTGGCTGTTGCTTCCTCTTTCAGTTCCTTCAGTGTCTTTGCATTCTCTTTCAAATCTATAGTGCCATTGCATCCACTCTCAACTCCATCAGTGCAGTTGCATCCTCTTTCAACACCATCAGTGCCGATGCATACTCTTTCACCTCCATTAATGCCTTTGCATCTTCTTCTCTTCTTTTGTCAGTATTACTACTAACTGCCTTTCCAACTCGCTAATCTTACTGCAACATCCAGCATGTTCCAGAAGTCTAGAATGTGCTTAAGTGGTGATTGATCCTTTCCATTTTGTGCCCCATAGCATTGGGTTTCTCTTCCAGCTGAAGTTTATCAATTTAGGGATCATGGAAGGGTTTATACTAGAATTAGGCCCTCTAACCAGCCTCACTGAAATTACAACTACAGTAAAGAAACCCAACAAAGAACAAAATATTGTCATTTTTTTTTTTTTTTTTTAATGGAAACATCGAAACTTCAATATTTATTAAATTTATGCATAATAGGAGAAAAAAATGACAGAAGTAGGTCGAGAAATGGTGACATATTAGCAGATCACTAAGGTTGAAAACTGAGTGGAGTCTCTCTACCCAGGGAGTATGATAAATGTGCAGGCCAGCAAGTGAAGTTCTGAACATGGTGAGTCTAGCCCTGCAGATGCTACCTCATGTTCCCAAGCTGCTGCACATGGTAAACAAAGAGGATGAATGTATCCTGATGGTTTTAGTATTTTCTGGTTGAGATGTACATGTACAATACCATTGTGGACATGGTTCAAATCATATGAAACACTGTTTTTCTCCCTCAAAACTATTAACACTCTCCTTTACTGTAATTGTTCAATTCTGTTTGAAAAAAAAAAAAAATAATGATTATGAAAATAATGTGGTAATTTATAGTAAAATATAGGGATTATAATGATGGTGGTATACAGTGTGGGCGTACTTTTAAATTCAAATCATATGCTTGCTGCAATTTCAATTCTCTATGCTCATGGTTGTCAACTGTTTTCCTGATGCCAAATTGATAATGATATAAACCTAAACTTTAAATATTTGGTTGGAAGTTGCTGTAATACACATACCAATATCCGGTATCTCTAAATTACCACAATTAAGCCCTTCAATAAATCAGTCAATCAATCACGGCCACTCTGTTCCATGATGTGCATTGCTCCTTTAGTCGAGACTTTTTTTATTCCTTTTTACACAAACTTATTTTTTTTAAAGATCGTCAGAGGGTGAAAACAAATAAAATGAAAATTGCATTTTCTTATTTAACAAGTAGTTTTTCCAAAAACATCCAGACAGAGGAGAAAATAAAAATAAATTTTATTGGTGAATGTAAGCAGTGTAGTAATGATGGTTAAACGCTTTAAATTTATATGATTAGGAGGAAATATGCATATCTTATTTTTGGAGATTTCAAGGCAGCGACGTGCGTAACAAAAATAAAGACAATTTTTTTTTTCTGAAATTTCCATTTTTCCGTGGCGATGGGTGTGCTAATTGGCCAAAAATAAAATGTCATTTCATTTGAAATCATCGTTACTGGCAGGCGGCAGGTTCATTAAACAAAGTATAAAAAAGTCTTGTCTTATCCCCCTTCATTTGATTTTATCTTTCAGGGACGGATCCAGATGTCCAAAAGGGGGGGTGCGAAAGTTGGGCCGATCGAGACAACACTGTCCTAGGGGCGTTCTGGGCTTATATTTTTTTCCTTTTCTTTTTTTTTTTTTTTTTTTTTTTTTTTTTTTTAACCTCCCAAAAAGCAAATCTTCCCCCTGTCTTTAATAAGTATTCTTATGAGAATGAGTTGCCTTGGTAATGGCATTATGTTTCCAGTCCTGATCATCACCCCATTATCCATCATCACATCTTTATATAAGTGTCAATAAAATGTTGATGTTTTGTCCACAAGGATGCATGGCAATTGGAATCCTTGACATCTTGAACATCCCAATGGAATGATAGATGAGTGTCCCTGTAATTAATTATTACTTCCATTCTATGAACGAACTTGAAAACAGGATGGCATGATGGCACCAATATACTCATAATAAAAACCAATAGAATTTTAAAAGGACGTTAAATTAAGATAAAAGGTTTTTTAATATTTCAATACTGGGTGGAATTTAGATGGAAAAAGGTGGCTACGCACCTTTCCCCCCTCCCCCCATTTTTTATATTCGAAAATCCGTACCTTATTAACCATTCCCAAGTTTTTTCGTCAAACACTCTTTTTGTGTCTTAAAAGTCAGTTGTGCAACATGTTATTTTTTTTCTGGAGTGTGGATTTAATCCACATATTTTATTATATTTAACAATTCTTATGACTTTACTTTTATTGAACATAAATACACCAGGAATGATTTAGGCAGGCACCTAGCCTGTATACCCATCACAACTCATCATTGAGTCACACTGTAGGTTAGTGTACAGAAATATGGACAAATGAATCATATTGACTCATTTATGTTTGGTTAACCAGCATGAGTTAATTCTGATTGGTTTCTATTGGGTTTGCATGGAGATCATAATATATAAAGTACACACAGAAATTACCTAGTTGACCACAGAAACAAGTTCAAACCGTGTTCATGATTGTTTATCAAGCTCGTTGAGCTGATTGTTTTTTATCTTTTGTAGATGATAAACAGATAAACTATCGGAGCCTGCATAGTACAGTTTAAAAAGAAAGTATTGACTTACTTTCTAGAAATGAGATTTGATTGATTGATTGATTAATTGATTGACATATTGATTATTAATTGATTGATTGATGATTGATTGATTGACATGAATTGATAGATTTGTGGCTGAAAAGCTAGGCTTCTTTATTCCTATGAGGCTTCACTGGCGCTTGAGGATCAATCGCTCTTTTTCTAGGACATTCTACAAATGATATACAGTACATAAAATTCAAGAATAATATTAACATGTTGGCTGCCAGCGATGAGTATACTCGTCCCACAGGGTGTCCCTGAGGGCGCTGGGGACGACTATACTCGTCAAAATCGGGGTAACATTCTAAAGTTTATTATTTCTTTGTTATACATTGTAGAACCACAGACTTAATTGCTGGTAGTTCGGAGAAGATACACCTAGGTGATAATGTACAAATAGCAGATGTAGGTTTGTTGTTTTATCTTGCCGGCAGTACACTTGATTGCACGAGTGGGGGCACCCTCTAAACTTATACCAACCCATGCAAAACATGGACGAGGAAACTCGCTCGCAATTGGCAGAGACAATAACAAATTCTGTCACAGTGCCAGCGACGAGTTTACTTGTCCCCTGATATCTTTCCCGCCAATTTATTAGATACACCATTTTGATGATATATGACTGGACGGAATTTCAAACAAGTATTGTCGATGTACCTAATGGCACACAGGAAGGAATCCTAAAAAAATGGTCTGGCAGTCAACGTGTTAATGACTAAATGTGTTTCTGTCATTTATGTACATAAGGTTAACTAAAAAAAAAACTAAAACTATGTAGTTAAAAAGTATAAACCTAGATTTGAGCTATGGCAACATAAAGCAAGCCTTCTAAGGAATGACATTTTTAAATACCCAATAGACTCAAAAGTGTATACTTATAATTGAAAAAGAAAGTTGACAACTTCAATCAAAAGAATTTGATAATTATCTGTCAGTTAGAGTAAGTTCGCCATCACATTGCCTTCACAAGTGTTTGACATTTACACTTGGCCTTAATTGCAGGTAATCTGTGCTATTTCCATCTGCTTTTTGTGCCTGCATCCTCCTGCCTTGGCGCCTAGGATTGGCCTTGCAGACTACAGTAATCACACCCTTAAAAGCAAAACAAACACACTTCATAAGTTTTATCAGTGGTAGTTTCCTGTGGCTGAAGTGTGCAATAGTAAACTTGTGCTGTAATTAGACTCACGAACGCACTACATTTGCCAATAGACTCCCTACTACTAGTCAGCTCTTTCAATACAATTGTCCACTTCCTAATCAAATACTCATTATGAATGAAAATGAAAGTTTACCTTTGATGAGGCTATAGTAGTAGGCTGCACTTTTACTGCCGGTATCTTTAAAAGTTCAATTTTTTTATTATATTATTACAGTCAATGCCGTAGCCAGCTATTGGGACAATTGGGACAGTGGCAACACAATTTTTCTATTGCGCCCATTAAAAATGGGTCCACATTTTAAAAATCAATCAAGATTTCTCATATTTTGTGTAAAATGGGTCAACTTTTTAAAAAATGTATCCAAATTTCTCATATTTTGCATAAAATGGATCCAGATTACTTTATTCATATTTTTGCATAAAATGGGATTTTTAGTAAAATGAGTCCACATTTTTTTAAATTTACGCGTAAAGTGGATCCCCCCTGATGTTTCCCCCCCACAGTTTGAAAATCCTGGCTACGGCATTGATTACAGTATGGCTTCAGAAGCATTTTTTGTTTAAAAATACTTTCTGTGTTAATTGAATTCAGTATTTGAAATTCTTTTATATTTTATTTCTTCAGTAAATGAAAATTTGAAAGTGAAAATATTTTGTCTTTAAATAATTATGTCAAATGTAGTAAAATATTTTAAAAAAAATAAATATAAGTCTATAAGCATTTGATATTTTACAGATTAATTTATAATTAATTTTTTGTGTATCATTAGCTGAATCATGAATTAAATTTATCCACAAAAGAGAAAAAAATATTATTTTTATCTTTAATCCTAACAGTTGCATAAAATAGTGTTTATATTCGTTGAGATCCTTAAAATTGCTGGTAATCAATTTTAAGACCACAAAGAATTTTTGGGGATAATAGTATGGTTTCTGACAAGTAAAAAGTGCCTGTATTTGCCAGACTCAATTCTTGGACAACTTTTCCCCCACCCGGAAAAATCCTGGCTCTACCACTGGGAGAAGTTTCAAATGCTGTTAAAAATATTATTTTACAAATTACAGTATTATACACTTTTTAAAAAAATTTTATTAGAACACATTTTATAAGAACACTGAGGCTAAAATTGCTTAAAAATTAAGAACAAAATAAGAACAAATTGAGGCTGAGGTAAAATGTCAAATGAGATTTTTATTTAAAAGAACTAGAAAAGCCAAAAATTTATATCTGTAGGTGTAACTATGTTATACCCTCTATTATACAGTACAGTAGGTGTACCTATCTGTCATTTGGGGCCATTTTTACCAAGGCCATTTTTCTGGGCCATTTTTTCTGGGCCATTGTTTCTGAGGCCATTTTCCCCGGGGTCACTTTTACCTATTTTCCAGTACAGTCTACCAGTACTGCTGTATACAAATACTTTTCTATGTGTGTAAAATAGGAACAAAATAAGAACATTTTGAGCATAAAATCAGCCAAAAAATAAGAACATATTAAAAGGACCCCTATACTTGTTTTAACAAGCATCACTTCCATCGGTGACAATGTAGTGAGCGACAATCAATTGCTGTTGAGAATAAATATAATATATAATTAAATAAAATAAGCTAAAAATAATGATTATTAAAAGATTGTTACCATTCATGTGCCAGTAAAAACATCAACAACAAAATTACAGAAAAAAAACCAACTTCCTAATCTGGTTATTTTCAGAATTGTTTATTTAGAAACTGGCAGTCTGTATATTTATTACCAATTATGTGGTTTAAAATTCTAGGAAACTGTTTTATGAGCACATTACACACCAGACTGATAACTAGTTAATTTACAGGGGTGGAGGGCTACATCAGTAGCATGATCGGTTGTTGCCGCAATAATTAGTCTCGAGGAGGCCTACATACATTAACAGCTTTCAATGCTTTTTTGTGTATTAAATGCAGTACTCATTGCATACATT